ATGACATCATAATTGTTTGCATTGAGCAGGAGGATGAGCTCCTCCTGCTTATTCCCCAAGCTCCTGGCATTAGTGTACAGGCAGGCAAGTGCCCCCTGGGGGGCTCCTTCCTTGCGCACAGATTTTACCAGGGCTGGGGCAGGGGTGGGCTCCCTGAAGCGCCGTGATCTGCTGGCTTTGCAAAGATGGCTCAGCGGGCCAGCAGTGGCTTAGTTTAAAGCCCGGTGGAGCAGGTCAGCCAGTCTGGCGGAGAAGAGCCTCCTCCCTAGGGGAGAGAGGTGGAGGCCATCTCTTCCCAGCAGCTCGCTGCCTCTCTCGACAAAGAGCGGGCTGTGGTCGTGAAAGCCAAAGCCTTCCTGACGTCACCAGCGCTGCAGTCTTTGGTTGACCACATAGATCCTCCTGTCCCTTCTCAGCCCATAGCCTGAGTTGGGAGGATCGACGAGAACATTTCCCATGGGAAAAATGGAGAAAACCACAGACTTCCCATTTTTATCAGAGAAAATGCGGATTTCTCCCTTTTGCAAAGAGCTCTGCAGGCTGGCGGCATTCCAGCCTGCATGACCTGATTGCAAAAGGGGTGGGAAACCTCCAGTCCTGCCCAGAGGGGCAACCGGAGGGAGAGGGAGAAGGGAAGGGCTTGAGGTTTTTAGTCATTCCCAAGGCTTACCTCTGGCTCATTTTCCTTCTGAAGCCTGTAAGGTTAGGTAAGTGGGGCTGGCTGGGGGGTGAGGGATCAGGGAGGTGTTGGTGAATGATGTGGAGTGCCCACCCGGCAGCATTTGGTCAGCCAGCAGAGCTATCAGCTCAACCGCTTTCACTCTCAGGGTGCAGTGGGGACCTATGCCCCCCAGATCTGTGCAGGGGGCATGCAGCAGGCTCAAGCTCCTGCCCTGCTTCCCTCCTGCACGGCCTCTACAGCTCTGCAGGCATGACCTGGCGCGGCTGGGAACAGCACGACCACACAGGGATCTGCTCACTGCCCCCTCCCCCCGCCCTGGTGACGTCTCCTCCCCCTGCCGCTACTTCAACTGGCAGAGCCCCGTGCCACGTCCCTCAGTGCAGCCCCGTGTGCAGGAGTCATGTCACTGGGGCAGCAGAGGATGAGCAGCCTCTAAGAGATCCCCTCATGGCTTCTCTGTCTCCAGCTGCACCCGATTGTGGGAGAGGGAAGCAGGGCAGCAGGGAACAGTGGGTCCGTGGCTGCTCGCTGCTGTTCCCTACCACCCTGCTGTCCCCCCCGCCCCCCCACTACCCTGGCAATATGCCTCCTGTGTGGGGGGCTGCACTGAGGGCAGTGGCGCGGGGCTGCTCCGCTCAGACCCTCTCACACCCTCAAGTTTAGCTTCTCTGTTTTCTATTTGATCTGAAGTTAATCCAGGGGAAGGGAGAGGAGAATAGCAGTTAATTAATGGGATCCCAGTTTCAATGCTTGCTCTAATTCCTTAATTGAATGAGATTATACAGCATGGTTTTATTTTTTTTTCCTCTGGTATAGCTTGCACTATTTGATGTTTCCAGTTATTTAACTCCAGCATCCATCTGTGATGATCAATGTGCTGGCTCACTCCGCTGTGATAATTGATAGCTGTGCTCACCACACTAGTTTTCCCCTCACAAGGGAAGTAGAAGGTGATGTGTGTGTGGTGAGGACTTTTATGTTCCTCCACGAAATCTGGCCATAGGAGTTGTAGAGCCCTTTGACCTCAGTAAAAAGCATATCCTGCCACAAACTGTTAGAGAGTCTAAGAATGTAACTGGAAAGGCAAAAAGGAACCCAAGTCGCAAGGAAAGAGACCACTGACCATTGATTCAATATGAGCTTTCATTACCTGGACAGATCATAGCTCTTTACCCTGAAAGGAGGAGAAATAGGGGAAAGAACATACCTGAGCAAATACAGTTCTGACAGGATTCTTGGATGAGGAGCATCTAGCCCAAGCAAAAGCCAGAAAAGACAAGAGTGATGCTGGACGCAAACGAGGCATTGTGTGGAAGGACTATTTGAGACACTGTCCCTTTATGTCATTAAATCTGTACAGAACTCATTCATTAAAGTGATGTCAAATCTCTAGGTGCTGATTGACCACTCAGTAAGGGTCAGCTGCATGTAAGGATGCAGGTCAGGAGCCTACCTGAGCTTTCCAGAGATGGCCCAGGTGTGAGAGGGAGAAGGACCGGAGTGAGAAGAACACCTAGAGAACCAACTCCTCTCTCTTTGTACTTGCGTCAAAAATAGTGAGTACCTGCTTGTTTTTATTTTTCTTTTTTTCTTGAACTCTGTTTTAACCTGAAAGTATCTGCAGGGTCAAATTGGTGTGAGAAAGGAGTGTAGGGGATTGTGGAGCCCCATATTTCTCAATAGTCGTGTGTTGCGGTGCTGTGCCTTATAGAGGCTTTTTTTTTCTGTTTATGTGTTTCTTTTGTTTGGAACATCCTCCCATACAACCAAAGAAAGTAATGAAACAAATCATTATTGAACGTTAAAGTCATGGCAGGAAAGATCTTTTCAACTGAGAGGGGTTAAAAAGGGGTAATATGACCACTTTTCCCCTATAAAACAAAAGAAGTTGGCATCATCCCATAAGGGACAGAAGCCTTATAGCACCTATAGTCAGCACCAGGCTGTATAGCACAGGTGCTTTATATCAGTTACTGGCTGGGGAATGAATAATCTTTGGATTGATAACCAGAGTTTATAGTGTTGGTTGCTTTTTTAAATTGCTGTGGGTCCAACGGTTGCAGGCCAGCCCAGCTCTGCTGTTAGATAAGAGTCAAGCTGAGCCATAAAAGATGAATGCTAAAATGACATAAGAAACGTGGCATTAGGCAAAGTTCGCTCTTGATGTAGTTCAATGCAGGCTCATGCTTACTGAATCCCATCACAAACATAATATCTACATGCCTCCAAGAAAAATCTTTGGAACAGTCACAGCATTGGGCTGTCTATAAATTAGTTCATATACTTACATTTGAGCAGCTGTTGTGTCATACGGACCCAGAAAAAATTCCCCAAATTCTGAAGATTATTTTTCTGTATTCAGGTTTTTCTTGTTTTTCCTGCTTTGCCCTATTGTTCTTCCTCCATATTCTAATTTCAATATCCCAGGTAGTTCGTACATTCTAATTTGTGCTGCTATATAGTAGTGGATGTCTGTTTTCTTGAAGGCATGAAAGGTGGGCAGCCTTGACATGCTTGTGCACCCCAGACAGGCACTCCAGGGACTTTAGGATGCCCAATCCTGCATGTCCGGGGGATTCTTATGCAAGATCCAGGAGCCTCTGCCCAGCTTTTCCTCACTGAGACATGCTAGTTCAGCACTGGTGTGTTTCTGAGGCTGGAACCTCCAAGCAGTCCTAACCCTGGAACCACACTGGCACCAGCTTTCCTCACTCACAGACGCACCTCAGGGGCACATCCCAACACAGCTGACCTACTTTATTTGGTGACTTCTATTTCTAGCCTTCAGACAGAAAAAAATGGGTAGATTGTCTTCTGCCTGCGTGTTTCTAAGAGTTCTGTGCAGCCTCCTTTGTGTGAACTGGGTGTAGGTGTGTGTGTTGGTTGCCTGTGCAGACTGTGCCATTAAACCTTTCTGAATGGAGAGGTGTGTCTGTGTCATTCTGTTCCTCTACTTTACATTCTCTTCTTTGTCCCCTGCATGCTGAACATTCAGCAGTAAAAGAAGCCAAATAGCCTGTATTCACTGTCAGTTGAGTGGTCAGTCCAACTAACAGAGTATGTAAATGCTGTAGTATAAAAACCTAAAGCTTCCCTGAAAGTAGGAATTTTCATACACGAGCTCTTCTTTGAACCAGCCAGTCACAGGATAACACTTGTATACACACAGCTAGATATTATTCTTTTTTCCTGGCATATCAGACCATTACCATTTTAATCTACTTTCTACATTCCTTGAAAATCTTATCAAATTCCAAGTCCCTCATGAACATACACCTTTTTTGATACAACTAGCAAATTGCACTTCCCCCCCCCCCCTCCCCCGCCGCCCAGAGTCCATCCCCCCTCTACCCCCCC